TTGATACTCAGAAATAATTTGTGATCGATAAATAAATCTGGGCCAACTAATTTGATTAATTATGATCGACAAATAAGTTATAACCTATAAATTTTGTGATTTGTGACTATGATGTTTTCTGATTGTGCCAGTACGTATTTGTGATCATAAATTATATGATATTGTGACCAACTATTGTATAATTGTAATTAATAAAACGAACAAATTATGACTAGTAAATAATATGTTACCTAAAAAAAATGTGTACTTTTGTAACGAAGAACCTGTTTGAGCCCCATTTTTTTTTTAAATGTATTTTGACAGATAATGAGTAGTTAAAAATTAAAAAAAAAGTTTTGAATTTGCGTACAATATTATTTTATAGAAGAACGTGATTAAAAAAAAGTAACTTGTGATCGAGAAATAAATTGTGATTATTGGGTAATTTTGATCAATTATTAGGTAATTGTGACTAATAAAACGAGTAATTTGAGATCAATAAATAATACGTGACCTAAAAAGTGTGATTATGCCTAAATTAATAATTGTGACCGACGATTTGTGTCTTTGTGATCGATAAATAAGTTATGATCAATTAATTTGTTAATTTATGATCATTAAATAAGTTATGACCAATTAATTTGATATTTTGTAACTATAATAAGTTGTGATAAGTTAATTTGGTACGTTGTGACCAATAAATAATTTGTGCACTATAAAAATATGTATTTTGGGATTAAATTTATAATTATGACCTACAAATTGTGTAATTGTGACTATGACCTTGCGTGGTTGTGATTAATGTGACTGTGATTATTGGTTGTTACTTATATGTAGACGAATATTTTCACATTTTTAATACAACGAATGATGGTTATTACGTTAATATGGATTGTGATATTTGTGTAGATGGAGAATTTGTCTTGTATATATTGAAATTGTTATTATTATTAATCTTGTAAATATATAAAATATATCATTGTTATTTATCATTTGATTGTTGAAATCTTTTTGTAAGTTTGTTAAATGTGAAATTGTATACCTAAAGTATTGTAGTTATGTATTTTTTCCATAATAAATGGGTAAATATTTGTGAGTCCTACGAAATATATGAATAATAAGTATGTTTTATCTATTTAAAAAAAAAAAATTGCTTGGCAAAGGAAGCCTAATTATCAGCTAAGACATTGAACATTGTAGCAGTCTAGTCGCACTTTGACATTTAAGCTGCTCAATTAGAAAAATAGAATATAGTAGCACAAATAACGGGCCAAACATAATCTTAGGAAATCCCATCAATCTTGCATTTATTTTTTATTTTTGGATTAAGTTTGACAATAAAAAATTGTAATAATATAGATTTCTTTATGTAAAATTCAAATGCGTATTTTCCAACAAAATATATGGATGCTGTTCATTATCACTAATTAAATTTTTGAATAATATCAATTTTGTAACAATTTGAAATCTTATGGCATGATTATTATGCTACTCAATATGACTAGATACCATAATTAACAAATTATTATTGTTTTTGTCAAGTGTTACATAGTCTACAAAGTATATAATTTGAACTACTAGTATTGAGCTGTGGAAAATGGCAAAGTGGAGCTAAATTGATTTAAATCCCACTTGATGTAGATTAAAAATTAATAAAAAAAAAGTTAAAATTTACCACAAATTTTATGAGATCACAACTTTTCGAACACATATTTTATCAAAATCTACTAAAAATTTGATTTTAATATACAACAATCAAGGTTTAAAATTTGTTTTCTATTCAAGATGTTTCAACTTGATCATCAATGTATTAAGAGAAAATTACCTAGAAATCTACATTGAAAGATTAATTTCCATAAACAAGGGAATTTATTTTAAAATTCATATATATAAGATGGTGATCAGATATCGTTAGTTGTAATTGATAAAAGATTAACGAAACTTAATCTACATAATAACCCTACCCACCTGAACTTTGAAATCTAAGGGGTGTTTGATAGTTATTTTTATGTAAAAATACATTTTACAATAGTAAATTGATATGAAATGTGTGGTTGAAAAATAAGGAAAAAAGTTTTTGATTTGCGTATAATATTATTTTAATAAAGAATGTGTAATTGAAAAAAGAGAGAGAAAAATGCATTTTGAAAAAAATGACTACCAAACATAGCCATAGGATCATTCTTTTCTCTCTCTACCACCACTCTCCCCATCCCATCCCATCCCACCCAACCCAACCCAACCCCATATTCTCCGTACAATTTCTTTGACGGAGCAGAACAGTTGGAGAAAGCAGCTGTAGTAGGGCTGATAATGGATTAAATTTTGATTTGAAATCGATGAAATTAATGAGAGATAGGTTTAAGGTTTTAGTTCGATAATCCAATTAAGATCTGAATTCAATAATTTGTAAATTAAACCCATGTTTGAGCCACATTTCAGGGGAAATGTATTATTCATGTCAAATCAATGAGAAATGTGTGGTTAAAAAATAAAAAAAAATTAGATTTGCTTGTAATATTATTTTATTAAAGAAAGTGTACTTGAAATGATATCAAATTACTGTTGAAAAATATATTTTTTGAAAATAATGTGATTCAAACAAGTCCTAAATGAAGCAAATATGAAAATATGTCAATCCAATTCGATAATAATCCGGTTCGATTTATTATAATAATAATATAATATATTTTATTTATTATCTCATAATTTATTACACACAATTTTTTATATTTTCAAACTTGTATTATACTATACACATAAATTCCAAATAATAAACAATATTAAATAATAATATAATATTATTCATTGAAATATATTGAAGAGATCTAATTTTTTTTAATAAATTAAAATAAGATAAAAATAATATCAATTTATCAATTAAACAACCAAAGGAGCCAATAGTTAGAGTTGCTTTCATTATTCTCAACTTCTCACTTTTCACATCGAATACTTACTATAATATCATAAAATTACAATCTATAAATATGTGGGCTAAGAATTGGATAAAAAGCTATTTTGGCCTTTTAATTTTAGGGCTTAAAAGTTGACTAATATAATTTTTTTATCTTTTTAATTTTTTTAATTTTGGATTAGGTTATTGGATCAGATATCAGATAATATAGCAAATCGAATATGGATTTAACAATCAAATATTCGTTGTATCATCGGATCGAATTGGATTTGGGTGATCCGATCCATATCTGATCTATTTACAGCCCTTGCTACATGCAGCGTTATGTTTCTATATGAGGCGAAGTGAACCGCCATGAACAGCCAATTCGCGGCCGTTGTAGGAGCCACTACTGCTGCACAAGATTTAGCCCCATCTTGAGGGTGCTTCCATTAGTTCGTCGCCAGTTCTTCGATATCGACATCAATCTCCAACAAAGTCAATGGCATTCTCGTCATCTCAGCTCACATCTTTGTCTGCCAACTTGAAATATGAAATTATCAAAGAACAGTAGATACGTGTAGGTTTTTATATTTTTTAATGTTTGTTAATTTTTAGTAGTAGGTAGTTTTTTTTATCAGATCTGTTGTTTAGCCAAAGTTTTAACACGGTTATTGGTGTTTTGCAATTGAAGCCAATGATTTTCTGATATGTGGGGTGGTTCTGTTGGTGGTGGTGTAGGCGACAATGGTTCTATTGTTGTTGGTATATGTGATTGTGGTGAGCTGGTGCATGTTTGGTTCTCGCCATTGTTGGGAATGGTGGTGGCGGCGGCGATGGCAATTGGTTACATGCAGTTACAAATTAAATTGACATGGTCACATAAGACAAATTTAGTCACAGAAAACATAGGTCAGTGAAGGTAGTCTCTATGGTTGTGAATTTGAGCTAAAGGTAGTAGTGGTGATGCATTTGAGGTGATGGTGATGGTGACTCATGGTGAATTGTGGTGATGGTCTGCAGTGTGTGCATATCTATTTGTACTGATCCTACGTGATCACGTATATGCTTATTGTAACTGATTGTGACGAATTTTGTGTTAATTGTGACCAATTGTGACTTGGTTACATAGTGTCATAATTAAGGTTGACCTGATCACAAACAATTACACTGAAAACAAATTTGGTTATATTTAGTTACAGCTAACATAGGTTAGTGATTTGGTTACATACAATTATAAATTAGACGATCACAAGCAGTCACATTGAAAATAATTTGGCCACAATTAGTCATATATAACATATGTATGGTCACAAATAATAAATTTGGTCATAGAACAAACAGTTAGCTAGTAGGTGCGATGTAATCTCCAAAATAATAATAATAATAATAATAATAATAATAATAATAATAATAATAATAATAATAATAATAATAAATAAATTTCTGAAAATCCTCTACAGGTGGAATGGGAAGGTGTAATTTTCAGAAAAGATTTTCAATTTCTAAACATTTTATGGGGGTGGAGTGGATGTGGTTCCATGGGATCGAGTGTAATCTCCATAAGAGAATTTGAATTTCTGAAAATTTTTTAGGGAGGGGGTGAGATCAGGGGCGGACCTGGGGGGTTTATAGGGGCAATTAACCCCCTAGATTTTGGGGAAAAAAAATTTTTGTTTAGCTTTTTTTTTTCCTTAGTTTTTTTATTAGAAGATATCCTATAAATTTTATTTTTGCCCCCCTAAGTCAAGTCGTCTGGGTCCACCCCTGGATGAGGTGGGTGGGGTGGTGAGTGTTCGGGTCGTGGGGGTGGGGATTGGGGTTGGGATTTAATGTATGTTATTTGACAAATTTGTTAGAAATTTGATACTTATAGTGCAGTAGTTGTATATTATTTGATTATTTCTATGTATTAAAAATAACTTCAAAGCACTTACCATATAATAATTCACATTAGCAATTTATCTCAGACCAAAATTTAACTCTTCAAGGCTTGAAAGTATTAAAGAATTTACGAAAATAATCTGAATAATAAATATAATATTTCCAGTACATCTTATTTCTTGCTCGAAAATTGCCATTTTCTTTTTTGATCTCTAGCTAGCAATATCAGGAGAGGCAAAGAAAATTGCGTGACCAAAAAATAAAAATTCAATTACGAAGAAAAAATTAAACGAATAATAATTTATTTACACTTTGATCATGCCGGTATCATAGGGAAATCCGACTGGTTTGATCCATGAATCACCCTGGAGGTATTGTCCAGGAGTGAAACTCTCAGCAATTTGTGGAGTAATTTTCTGAATTCCCTTCCATGTAACCCTATTAGCGGTGTTTGATCCAGGTCCCCGATTTTGGTACTCGCCGTAGTAGCATGTGTCAAGCCCCCAGGTGCCGGCCCACGGCGACCATCCTTCCGGAGCGATGAATCCGTCGATATCAGATTGCATGATTATGGTTCGGGAGTATTCCTTCCATGGGCGGCCGAGGTATGCCGGAAGTGCGGGTTTGACGGCGAGGAAATCAGGCTCCGCCGTGATCTTACAGTTTTGGAGGACGATTGCTCCGATACCACGGCGGTCTTTTCGGCCCTGAGCGGTGACCATGCAGCCTTGGTTGTCCATTGGTTTACGGACCACCATTTTACAGTTCTGGAACACAGCGGAGGCATCTCCGAAGATAAAATCGATGGTGCCGGAGATCACGCAGTCACGATAGAATTGGCGGTAGGCGTGTGCGTAGAGTGTGTCTTGGTATGCGTCGATGTGGCAATTGTAGAAGATCGCGTTATCGCCGGAAACTCGGAGCGCTACCGCCTGGTGCTTGTCTGGCCCAGCCGCGTTCTCGAATCCAATGTCCTTGGCTATGAAACCATCGGCATTTACGGCTGCTCAATATCAAACACAGCGAAGTCTCATTACTAAAATCAACATAAGTTGCACAAAAATGTAAACAGAAATCGAAATCGAACCCAAAATAACAAGAGAAAACGTTATTTTTCGGAAAAAAGAGAGAATACGAAATACTAAATTTGAGCGTTAAATGTGTAACTTACCAACCGTTGCGGTGTGGAAGGTCAAAACACCATCAACATAGTTCTTGTTGCCCGTGATTCTTGTTTTAGTCGGTCCTTCTCCGACCAAAACAATGTTGTTCATTTTCTTTGGGATCTGGACATACTCTTTATAAATACCAGCCTTGACAAAAATGACAAATGTCTGATTGTTTTTCGGGGGAATGCTCCTAATTGCGTCCGTAATAGTTTTAAATTTTCCACTGCCGTCTTGTGCTACAACTGCGTTAGGTTTGAGCGAAGCCACATTGGTTGCAAGAAGCCTACGGGATGCAGTATCGACGAATGATTCAATGCCGTCTTCAGACAGGAGCCTTCGGCTAAAGCTTCCGAGTTGCAGGCCAGAAAGAATCTGGGCGAAGTCTGTAACCATGGCGAGGCCATTACTAGTGAGCTTGTTAGCGCTTGCCAGGAGTTTCTTCATCTTCTCCCCGGTGTCGGTGGTGGTGTTCTCGAACCCGTCAATGCAGGTTTCCTGGTGTAAAGAAAAAAATCGCACATCGCTCAAATCTGAAATAAAGGAACTGCAAGATCCAATATGGTAGTTCAAAAAGTTCAGACTTGTGATTTGGTCCCTTTGAAGTTTAACTACGTAGTCAAATTTCAATATCAGTGATGTCAAACAAGTCACCATCTTTCGAGCACGTTAATGGTACGAGTTTAAAACCACTTATATATGAAAATGTTGACCTTTTAGCATGAGACTTTGAAATTGAATACCTGATAAGTTATTGAGGCGCTTAACCATGTTTTGACGTCGGCGACATAGTCGTCCATCTTACTAGGATCGAAGTCCCCAACTTTTGCGAAAGACCTCCTGAGATCATCAATGGAGGTTTCAAGAAGATCTTTGCATGTTTCCAGGGCCTGAGACGTCATCGGATCCTTTTGAGCTTCCTTAATAAGAGACGAGTTTTTAATGGCTTCGCCAATATTTCTCACTGTAAATTCAAACGCAGTCCTAATGAGTTCTCTAGGGTCGCTGCTGTTGGCACTGGCAAGGCTTTCCTCACAAGCTTCCTTGTAATCGGTGGGGGCACAAATGGCCTTAACCGCCTTGGTCGAGGAGCTGATTTCACCACCACCGCTACTGGAGTCGCCAGACGAGCTGCCGCTATCGCCGCCCTTATTGACACCAACAGCGACGGCAACAACCATAGCCACTAGGAGAACTGAAGCAAGGCCGGCAACGGCGACCTTCTTTTTCGTTCCACCGGAACCATCCGAACCCATTTTTGCTAATCCAATTTTTTAAGCTTATCAGTGTTTTAAATTTTTTGACTTTTTTCCACTGATTTTCTAATTATTTTTTTGGTTTATATTTCTTTGCAGAGCTCCTAAGGGGTCTCTGATTTATTCTTTGTATCCCCTTGAACTCCGATGTTTTATTGAATGGTTAATTTGCCGATAATTTGAAGTGATATTTATATAAGAAACAAATGGTAATGAAATCCGCCATGGATGCACAGACCCTCAATTTCTGCTCAGAAATTTGAGGTTGTTAGTTCTTGCAATTCGAAATTAACGCAAAGCCATGCAAACTAATGGAGGTACGTAAAAAAATGTCATATGCTGAATGCTTTGGAGAAAAAACTGGCAAAAATTATCCAGAGATTCAATCAAATAATCCACTCAAAGACATGATTACTTGAGCAGTCATTTGGTAAATTGGATTGGATATTATTGAATTTTAAGCTAAAATTAAGTAAAATTTATGTTCTTTTGATGGAATCAAATAAAAATTCAGAAATTAGAATATTCACCTCTCCTTTGTGGATATTAAGAACAAATTTTGAATAGTGTTGGACAGTATTGCCACATATATTTAACAGAAAAATAAGAAAAATTCTTAATTAAGATTCTATGAGCCATTATTTTTAAATCATAAACCTAGGAAATACACTGATTTAATTTTTGAAATATTGAAGCCATATCCATTATTAAGGAGGTTCAATTGTTTAAGGATCAGTTGGGTTGAAATTTTCCATTTGTTTTAGGTGATAAAGTATGAATTATGTTAAAATTTTTAGGGTTTTAACTTGTTGAATAATATGTCGAATTTTAGGGATATTTGCACAAATTGGAGCTCAAGTGTGGGGATTTATTCATTTCAAATTTTCAGCAAGGTATGGAGATGTCAAATTTTTGGGAAAACCCTAGAATCCGATTTTGGGGATTTTAATTAATTAATTGTGAAGTGATTATGTAAATGAAATATTTCACTTGGGAATTGATTTTATAGAACAAATGTATATTATGTGGGTGGAATTGTGATTACTAGTTTCATTAGATTGGAGAGTAAAATTAGTTTTAAATTTGAAATGATGGTTATGTTGATAAATTAGTGATTAACCAAGGGATTATAAGGTGTGATTAGCTCCAATTAATAAAGGAAAATTTGAGAATTTATTTAAGTACCAAGATCATTTAAATTATGTTATGAGTTACGGGAAGCAGAGACCGAGAAAGAAGAGAAAAAAGAGGAAAAGAAGAAGGGAAAAAGGAAAAGGAAAAGAAAAAGGAAAAGAAGAAGGGAAAAAGAAAAGGAAAGGAGGTAAGGTTGATATCTTCTAAATTAGTGATTAACCAAGGGATTATAAGGTGTGATTAGCTCCAATTAATAAAGGAAAATTTGAGAATTTATTTAAGTACCAAGACCATTTAAATTATGTTATATTATTAGATATTAAGGTTTCTCGATTCGATAGTGGATAAATTGGTTATCATTATCGTATTTCAGGAGGTAACGAGGCGATTGGAAACGTCTATCAGCCTATCTAGCTTGTAGCTCATACCTTGTGAGTGGATAAAACTTATTTTTCATAAATAAGTCTTCATTATATTTTAAAGTTATTTATTGTATAAAGTTGACTTTATAGCATGATTTTTAGAATAAATTGGATTTTATTAACAATTGCTTTCAAAGTTAAATTCAGTTTAATTAAATCATTTGACTAGCATGTTTTATGAATATAAATGATTCAGTATAGCTAAAATTATTTTAAAACCATCAGAAAGTACCCAGGTGATTTTATCCCACTCTGCACTGATGTGAATGTGTTTCCACAGTGTATGACTACTTACAGTGATTTTACCCACTCTGCACTATTGTGAATGTATTTCCATAATGTATGACCAGATTATCAGAGGTCTTTGGGACCCACTCTCGTACACACATAGGCTTTGGGCCGTGTACTAGGGTGATTAGCCTTTGGGGCAGCTCTGCGTATGTATGACCAGATTATCAGATTATCAGTTATCAGATTTGAATGGCTTTGTCTTGTACATCGAGATTACTCTGTACATGAGTAAGGCTATTCATTGGGTACTCTTTTTGGTGTGATTTTTCAGTATTTATTCTATTATTAGATTTCAGATTATGGAATTCAGTTAATTCAGTTTTCAGAATAAAGCTTTCATCTTATAGTATTAAGGCAGCAATATTTCATAATTTTTCATGGATATCAGAGTATTTATAGTCATTATGTTATACAGTTGCCTTTCTAGAATTATGTCCAAGAAATTATGATATGATCAGAGTATTTATAGTCATTATGTTATACAGTTGCCTTTCTAGAATTATGTCCAAGAAATTATGATATGATTATGTATAGTTTTTTTTTTTTTTTAAAGTGTTACTATTTTTTTTAGAAGTTCTTAACGTTAAATAGTGCAAGAATTTTCAGAAAATAGCATAAATGGAAAAGTTTATTTATTTTCAACTATCCACTCACTGAGTTATAAACTCATATCTTTTTACCATGTTTTCCTATCAGGAGAAGGTCGATTTTGAGATATTTGGGAAAGCCTGCTGAAGCAAAAGAGACCGTTTCATAAGCATGTAATGAATAGTTGGGAAACTTATGTTTATTAAGTAATTGTCTAATCTTGGGTGACAAGCATATTTGTAGAAGAGTTTGTAAGTGATGTAATACTTGCATGTTGACAGGATGATGTTGTAGAAACACTTAGTTGAATTTTGTTATATTTTGTAGTAGTTGTGGTGGTATTAGAGGAAGTGGTGGTTTCCAAAACTTTTGGTTTAAATGTCTATTTGAGATTTTGATGATTTTTCAGGTTGGTTTTGTCCATGTTACAGGGGAATCTCTGTCAACATTTTCATAGAAATTAGCACAGTCAAAATGGGTCAAGTTTGCCTTGGTGGTGGGTCCGACATTTAGCTGGCATCTACTACTGGCGCACGACACGTGTCGAGTCAATTAGGTTGAGTCGGGACGGGTCGTGTCACTTGCGGTAGACAACGTTGTGGTTGGACTTCTTGTCTAAATTGAGAGATCGAGAAGCAATGAAAGTATTTCTTGAAAAATTATTACAGATTGGTTAAAGCCAACACACTGATAGATCCACTGAATGTTTTTAAGCATGAACAAGGCATTTTTCCAATGCCTGCAGATGACGGCAGATCAAATATTTGAATAACGAGATACATGAAAAAGATTTATACAATCGACTACAAATTTATCGTAAATAAAGTTTAACTTCTTGTTGGTTGGTATCCCCAGAAAATAACTTCTAAAAAAATCAAGTGTGTTTGACAAAAAAAGTTACTTTTTACATTTAATCATGTAATCACTTTCTTGAGTGCTGTTTGGTCCATGATATGCTTGTGATCTTCAAATCTTCGTGTCAACTTCCGAACTTATGGATGTAACTTTTACTAAGGCACCTTTTACTGTTTAAATTGTCTTTAACAAGAGTTTCATAATGGTTTAGGCAGGGGATCAGATTCAGATTAGACTGAACATTTTAATGATTAGTCTGTATAATATGGAAAGTTAGATATGAATTTTGTTTCGTTAGTTCAGTTAATAATGGCCACTTCTAATAGAATCTTATTCCATTCAATAAATAAAAGGTTCTCATACTATGTTGACACGCAAAGTACCAAAACTAGATTTTGGATGGCTTAAGTAGGGACGAAATGAATTAATTCTTTTGAAATTTTTCTTCAACACGTTGCTTATGTCAATGGAAAATTCATTTCATCATCAAAAGCCTAATTGATGTGAAATAATTTTAGTGCTTGTTTGGCCTTTTTAAAATTTAAAATTGTTTGCAAAAAATATCATTCTCTACCACATATTCACACGATAAAATACTCTATATACAAATCAATGAAGTTTCTTTATTTGTTATCACACACTCTCTAAAAAATACTATTGAAAACTCTTTAATTTCCCAAAAAATGTGTAACAAACAAGGGCTTAAAGTAGTGTAGGTGAAACTAGGTCATGAGATCTTTTCTAATTTTTTCAATATCTATGAACAAATAACTATATATCTCCCAGGTAGGGGAACTAAGAATGCTTTGGAAAGAAAGCATGACGCGTTATATGCTTTAGAATCTTAATTATTTGGAAAGAAGATAAGGGTGCAATTTTTTTGGATACACAATAATATTTCAATATTTGTACCAATATTAAAGGTTTTACTCATTTTTCTGTCCTTTAAATTCCTAGGTTAATAGCACATGATATGTTAGAGATTAAGCCCTAATTTCTTCCAACAAAGTAATATTATGCACAATGAACATAACAAAACAAATAAATCCAAAAAAAGAAGGAAAAAGAAAAAAAGGAAAAAAAAAAAAAAACTACTAAATGTTCATTCTCATTATGAGAGTCATGTTCGCTAGTTGAGTTGAGTTTTCGATAAAAGATTTTTCAGATGTCCTACCCTCAAAACCAGCTCCCCTGAAAATATTAGGGTAACCTTATACACATTTTATTAGACTTCATGCTATGCAACAAGAGAATAGAATGAAAAGAATTGAATAAGCTTAACAATAAAATTTTTAGACAAAAACTCTCTCCTCAGCCCAAGTGACTTAGCTCATCATATATGCCAAAAAGCGAAATAGAATAGAAGGAAATAAAAGATGGATTGTAATGTCCAACAATATATGAACAATTTTCTGAAATTTTGAGCTTATTACATGTGATCATTTGCTGCTAATGCTATCATGTATTAATCCAAGTTTATTGGTGAAGTTATCCTGTTAGTTAAATCGTATCTGTCAAAAGTTTTGAAGTATAAAGCAAACTGAGTAACGCTACTTGGAAAAAAAAAACCCATTATTGCTTTTCTCTTAGAATATTAATCTCAAAATTATTGACTGCGGAAGTGCCCATTACACATCTGAAAGGAATCTCACGAGATAGGAATCCACTGGCCACTATGTTTTTAAAATTTTCTTATCTAACTTGTCCTCCCACTAGACATTGAGCTTTCCATATAAAGGGCCGTCACTTGTATCAAATGCATCAAGAACAACACAAAACAATTCCTTGTAACTCCTTGGCATACTCATTTCTGCAACCTTAAAATATGTCGTCCAAGGCAGATCTTGCAAGAATAGGAAA